GGGCGCTGAACACCGCTGGCTGTTCGGGACTTTAAAATGGCCGCCGCCACGTTTTCGGCAAACGAAAAAAGGCCACCCAGCATTCGTCAATTAAGCTGCAGTTAACCGCAGCTTCTGGGAGGTAAATTGCCGACACACTCCCAATACAGGTGGTCCAGTCATTCGGTTGTTTGTTCGGTAGATTGAATCGGTAGATACCGAACGCCGGGCAGAAAGGCACGAACAAGTCTTTTCTGCAGGGGAGAAGAAGGCTTTTTAACATGGGGCCATAGTCCAAGGGCAACAGGCGAGCAACCAGGCTTCTCCAATGCTTCGTGGCGAGGTTGGTTTCGCCACAGCAGAAATACACAAATAAACCTTTCTGCAGTGTAAAATACAGCTATCAGCACAGGGGCCATAGTCGGAAGGCAGGAGGCTTGCCAGTAGTCCACAAGTGGCGCAAGGCACTTCGTCACAGAGACTAAGTCCCGTTTGAATGTGACTTAGTCATTTTTTCAGTGTGAAATTGACCGACCGCACAGCCCAAATCTATGGAACTGTTTTGGGCATGAAAATGTGCTTGCGGTCATAAAAGGACTTCCAGCTAACTTTTTAACCCCTGAATGGAATTGACTGAATTTTGACTATGTTTATAATTAAAGTGTGAATAATAATATGTAATTTTTATGAAGATTGCATGCATATTTGTAAAGTTACAGTACATGTGTAAAAACTGTATTTCTCTGCCTGTGATAATTACATTAACCCATTGTGTAAGGTATCACAGGCAGAGGGGAGGATTTTCTGTGGGAGTGTCTGTGGCTATTGTACGTATTGATTGGTTGTTCTGCAAAACCCTGTGGGCAGTACTATGTGTGTAAAATGTGCATAAAAGCAGTGTGTTTGATTAAAAGCTTCAGTTCTACATCACCCTCAATTTGGAGTTCCGTCTCTTATTGGGGGAATCTGCTACAAGGGATGGCTATGCTCTGCATATTCCCTTGCTATAATCACTCCTAAGCTCTTTAAGAGCTTGTTCCTGCTTCGCTCTGAAAGAAGAGAGGTTCAGCCTGCGGTGGTTGTGGTATCTGCTAGAGTGCTTTGAGCCCTCCGGAAGTGCTAGTAGCATCTTTCAACGGAGGTACCCAGTCAGGGTGCCAGGTTATCCGTTACACATATCACCCCAGCGGCAGCTTACCCTACAGGGAGAGGAGACAACCGGTCCCTCCCCCCCAACTACAGAGGGGAGGCATTTCTATCCACGATGGTGCAGATGGGACCATCGTGGACCAGACCTACAGGGATGCTTGATGGCCTGTCCAGATCCCCAAATAACCTTGCAGGGATACAAGGAGGAGGTAAGCAATTTCCAGCCGGGCTCAGGGCAGAGCGCTGCTGGCCTCTGTCCTCCCCTTTCCCTTTGCACTAGGCCTGACTACCTGCAGGCCACCCCAGCAGAAGTGCTGGCATCGGGGCAGAGTGCCGCTGGCCTCTGCCCTACCTACCCCCTTGTAACAGGACAGCATTGTACATCCATTACCCCAGCAGAAGCACTGGCAACCGGGCAGAGCGCAGTTAGCCTCTGTCCTCCCCTGGTCCGTGATCAAGGAACTGACCACCCACTGTAACGCTGGCTGCTTTGCAGAGCGCCGCTGGCCTCTGCCCTAACGGTCCCCTTGCCACCGGGCAGGACTTTGCCCTGGTCCCCCCAGCTGAAGCGCTGGCATCGGGGCAGAGTGCAGCTTGCCTCTGCCCACCAAGTACCCACAGCTTCTTGCCTAGTTGTACCTGGGAGATCAAGGGTGCTGAACACCCACTCAGCAACCTGGGACATACCGGACAGAGCCGGGCACCAGGAATCACCAGGGGCAGTAATTGTTTCTTGTGGGGGGGTTGGTGACGAACTACACTTCGCCACTGGGTCTATGGGCCATGTGATAACCCATGTTCAAAAGTACTGTTTCTGCCCCTTTGACTTTTAACTGGAACAAATTCAAACGTAGCGGCGGCCATCTTAAATTGTCCAGCAGTGTTTTGCCGTTGAGTGTATGGAACTGGTTTGGGCATGGGAACTGTTTTGGGCATGGGACCATGTGCACGGTGGGGCAAAAATAAGACTTCCATGAAATTCCTGAACCCCTGAACCGATCTGGGTGATTTTCAGATATGTTGTTCACCCAGATTGGGGTGTGTGGAGATATGTTATATTTTGGGGGTTGTAAAAATGTATGTTTTTTTCTGCAAAAGTTAATTGAGTTAGTCCATTGTCTTTGTTAATTGTATCACAGGCAGAGGGGAGGGTTTGTGTACAGTAACTGGGAGTGTTCAAATGTGCCCTTTGCCACTTGATCCTGGAGATGCCTGCTTGCCAGCCTCCTGCCCTGTGACTATGGCCCGGAGGTATATGACCCTTTAAAAAACATTATTGGGGCTTATGGACTTTCATTGGACTAGTGCTGGCCCTTTAAGCATATTTTTGGGACATAGGGAGAATTGGAACAATGCCCCTTTAAAACTGTGTCCCCAGAGTCCCCAGACAGTGAAAATAACTTGTCCATTGGTTTTCCCATATGGTTCGGTAATTTAGTCTTACCGAACCATTTACTGCGCAGGCGGACCATACAGAAGTGGAAGCGTGCGGCTAATTTACCTCCCAGGCTGGGAGGTTGCTGTAGGTAAATTGCCGACCGCTGGGTGGCCGACGTTCGTACAAACGAACACGTGGCGGTGGCCATCTTTATTCAGGTGAACGCGGTCAGCGGTGTGTGCAGCCAAATCTCTGGAACTAAAATCGGCGCAAGCTAGGAAGCATCCATCAACGGAATGTACTCGGTCGGAGTACAGGTGATTCCGTTACAGTGGTGGTAGCGGTGGGATGGCTTTCTAGCGTGAGGAGCAGCATCCTGGAGACACCGGAATTCTTACAGAGCGATATGGAGCCAGCAAGTCCCTGGATAGCGCTCGAAGTGGAGGATGAGTTCGACTGGAGGTTACAGAGCCTCTTGGCCCCATTGGGTGAGCCAGTATCAGAGGCAATCAGAACAATGGGGGGAGGGGTGAGGCACGCCTTCCCATGGATTCAAAGGGGCAGAAAAAGTGTCACAAAATCCAATAAGCCCAAACAATGTTTATAAAAGGCAAACTCTGCCAGGGGCCATGGTCACAAGGTAGGAGGCGGGCAAACAGGCCCCTCCAAAAACCAGTGACGAGGTCACTTTCGCCACACAAATAGGGGGGGGGCCTAATGTCCTCCCCCCTGGCCCCCACCCCTGAGCGGTGGATGGGGGCCCTAAATTAGAATAAGGGGGGGACCTAATGTCTTCCACCTGACCCCCACCCCTGAGCAGTGGGTGGGGGACCTAAATACCAATAAGGGGGGAACCTAATGTCCTCCCCCCTGTCCCCCACCCCTGAGCAGTGGGTGGGGGCCCTAACTTAGAATAAGGGGGGACCTTTTGTCCACCCCACTGGCCCCCACCCCTGAGCAGTGGGTGGGGGACCTAAATACCAATAAGGGGGGTTAACCTAATGTCCTCCCCTCTGTCCCCCACCCCTGAGCAGTGGGTGGGGGCCCAAAATTAGAATAAGGGGGCCTTGTGTCCACCCCCCTGGCCCCCACCCCTAAGCGGGGGGAAGGCTTATAAAGGCTTCAATTAGGCTCAGCGCACTCTGGCTGGTTGGTTTAAGCCATCCAATCAGAGTGCTCTGACAGGTAAATGAAGGGACTGACAGGTAAGTCTCTACATTTACCAGTCACAGTACTCTGATTGGTTGGCTTGAAATCCACCCAATCAGAGTGCTCTGTGTCATTTTACACAGCGTGGGAAAGTTCTTTGGAATTTTCCCACGCTGTGTAATTTGACTCATAACTCTCTGATTGGTTACTTTCAATCCACCAATCATAGTGTTATGAGTCAAATTACACAGCGTGGGAAAATTCCAAAGAACTTTCCCACGCTGTGTAAAATGACACAGAGCACTCTGATTGGCTGGGTACTTCAGCAATACTGTGCTTTGGAATTTCGGCAATTCAGCAGTACCCGAATGTCTGAAATTCGTCCGAATTCACATTCGGACTGAAACAGTCCTGGGGCTGCTATTTTGCCTCTGAGCCACCATACAGCTCAAGTAATAGCCAGAAGTCTGTCTTGCCTTGTATCCAGCACTGGGGGCTGGACATTATTCTTTGGCTGTTCCAGCATTCTCAGCACACCTGCAGCTGATGGCCTCATTAGCCAGGTATAAAACACTGCCTCTCCCAGAAGGCAGTGTCAGTTCCTTGACTCTGGTGATCATACTGCTGTTTTGTGTTCTCCAGTTTACTCTTGACCTTGGCTTATTACTCCGAATATCCTGATTTCTGGCATCCACTGACCTCGGCTTTCTTCTCGTTAATCCTGATTTCTGGCATCCTCTGACTTTGGCTTACCCTTGACGATTCTCAAGCTTGTGTCCTTACCTGTACTGGGACTTGGAGCAGTATCCTGCACAGCCCCCTGTGCACCGACTCACAGGCCAGGTGAATTCTTCCCTGACCACCTCGGCCTGTGTTTACTTGCAAGGGTGAGCATAATCTCTGCCTGCCGGACTCCCACCTCTGGTAACCCCTGACATAAGGAACTGACCAATGAAGTCTGCAGAGATGTGCTCACCCCTGTCCCAGCAAGTGTCCAGCCTGGCCCAGATTGTTTCTGAGCTGCAGTGAGAATTTTTTTCTTAAAGGCACAGTACGCCCAGCTCCGGAACCTGCTTATCCAGAGCCGTTTGTTGTGATGCCTGACAGATTTGATGGTTCCCGTTCCTTCTACACAACATTCAGGATGGATTGTGAGTTCCTGTTTGCCCTTAAGCCCAGGACCTATTACTGTTGCAGTGTAAGCATGCAGAAGCCAAACACAGAGAGATGGACACAAGTCTTCAGGAAGTAAGAGGCCTTTATTCACATTACCGATCGGGTCTCAGATGAACTCCTGTTCCAAAATTCTGAGAGACATATACCTGTGGCTTGGGACTTTTGTTAACTGCATATATCCTCCCATACAGTATAACCCTTCCTATATTCCTCAGACCAATCAATGAGCAGAATATAGACTTGTACATCTAGTCAAACCACATGGCTCATCCAAGACAAAGGAAATAAGTGCAATTTCAGTTCCTGCATTCCTGCACATGCTCAGTACACTGATGACAGTATCCTAGCTACGTGTAGCTAACTAACTGACACAACATACACATATGCCACATGGAAATCTTGGCCTACTAAATTTTGACCATGCTGGAATCCCATCACATTCCCCCCTTTGATGCCTCTGATATAACATTATTCCAGATGCATCACCAATCACAGTTTTACCTACATCTCTCAAGTAGCCATTGAACCAGAGTAGACCTTGTAGGCATCTTAAAAACTCCTTCAACATTCCTCATCCTGAATATATTCTCTTCGGGCTAGGGGATCATATCTATAGACAGCCATTACATGAGCCGCTGTCTTTCTCTCTATAGTACTCTCTATAATACTACGTAGGGACCTTACCACTGGTGGAATTAGACAGGGCAGGAGGAGGCACAAAAAATATAATAAATTCTACTCCTCCTACTAATGTCTTAATTCCTCCAAGCTGCTCATACCAACTTCCAAACCAACTACTTAGGTTATACCCATTCCAGACCTGAGTAGGTACATGCACAAATTTAACCATGTGGCTTGTAAATTCAGCCACTGCCTGCCCTTCATCATCTATGTGCAGACAACAGTTACTTAGATTAAACTTTCCGCATACCCCTCCTTCTACTGCTAGTTAGTAATCTGGTATATGGCTGATGGTATCCTGGTATTTTGCTTAGCTAGAAGATTAAGCGCTTGTGCTGTCTCATTAGTGATAATCTCAACTACCGCCTGTAGCCTAATAATGCGGTTGAGCATATATATCGGAGTTCTATATCCATAAGTGCCATCTTCTGCCCAAGTAGCAGGTCCATGATAATTAATAATACGTTGGGGGGGCCACTCATCATCTTCCCAGCTACCTATATTCAAGGATGCTCTCTCCCTTTTATGATTTAAATCGTAAACCTTAACTCCCAATGTCTCTCCTGTTTCGATTGGCAACAAGAAGAAGGATGGCTTTGGCATACTTAATACACATGCCCCTTCCCAATCTTGTGGTAACTCCGAATAAGTTTTCTTACCACAAATCCAGTGTAAATTTGCTGGGGCTTTCCAACTAGATGTAGCCGATAAGTCAAACCATACCTCCTTTAAATGAGTGTAATTGGCAAACGGATTAGTAGGCTCCGAGACATTTAAAGCTGACCACCAAGTAGTATTTTTAGTATTAACATTATAGGCTTTTTGTCCCAAGCAAGTTAGCTCACCTACAGACGTGCTATACATTGTCCCTTTCCTGGCTATACAAACATGACCTATAATGGAGGTTTTTAACCACCATTCCAATTTACTTCTAGTACTTACTTGATGATCAGACTGGAAAGGTATCTGTTGTTCATATGTCTCAGAGCCAGGGTACCATATTTCCTTTGCCTCCCATGGCCACTGGTCTCCCATATTAGTACCTCCACACACATAGCAATTAGTTACATTAAGACTACCTGCAATACTCTCAGCCAAATCAATAAATAGGTTCTTAACATTATGGGGAATTTTATCCTCAACACTCATCTCCTCATAGAAGGAATGAGAAACCTGATGAGTTTGAGTTGCCACTGTCTCAGTTTCAAGACCTACATATATTATTGTTCCTGGATCTACTCCTGTGCCATATATTTGGAACCCAAACAGACCTCCAAACCTGTCAATAAAGTGCTGCAGATTGGAAATGGTCATGTGAATGGGGTTACGCACATAGTTTTACAGTATGGTGTGGTAGGCAACGTTTGGATAATCAAATCTTGATCCACTGTTTTTCCCAGGTTGCCCAGCCTACACATGACCAATAGGGGCAGAAGTTAAAGTCTCTATTTGGGCAGTTAGGATCAGTAGATCTTTTGCTAGGGCATAAATATTTATTGTCATTGAACCCATAAGTTCGTTCCCATTTAAGATTACCACATACATTCCAAGGTTTTCCACTACCCGAAATCGCCTTACATGCATCAAATAATAGAATACCCGTGGAATGTATGGTGCTTATCACAGTCCTATTTATTAATGTCCCCTGGGAGTTACTATTCCGAATTACCAACCAAATTGTACAGGGTTGGAAATGGGGATCAAAACATTTAGATTCTCCTGATATTGGCTTGCACACACTATAATCAATATCCAAATATCTACATTTAGATACAGATCCCTTACATTCATACTGTGAGTGCCAGATGAGAGTTTGGGATATTTGGTTACCTGTTTTAGTAGTCTTAATGCAACTATCGCAATTCGGTATGTCTGTACTCCTACCTTCCTGAAAAATCATAAAAATACTAAGACACATAATAAAACACATTATTCCTGAAATCCTCATTTTTCTTCGACCGTGCGATGGCCTCTCAGCTTCCCGATTGTGAGGGATGCAAGGATGTTGTTCTTCTGATCCTCACTTTCCTTCACAGAGATCCCTTCGAGATACTCTGGCTATGACACGTAGGCAGGTGGTCAGGCTTTATTATGGCCGTCAAAACACCTACTTGATGATCTCTGTAGACTTTTAACTTGAATGTCTTGATATTCCCTTGTCACTCCGACTGAGTTGCATGCTTCAACCGGGTCCTGCAAGGATTCTCAGGATCTGGAGTAGCTTGCCAAGAGTCTGCTGCTGGTTTAACCTTAGAATGATGAATCCAAGGAGTCACTTCCGCCACCTTTACAGCTGTTGGGGTAGATAAAAGAACAACATACAAAAGCTAACAGGATACACCCCGAGCTTTAACTCAATATGTATTGGTGGGATATTACGAGCAAGTCCTGGAGGATTATTTTCTTCCCATACTCCTGGAATGTCAAATAAAGATTCATCACTCTTAGGGTTAACACTTGTCACTATGGAATAGAAGCGTCATTCTTCTTCCCTTGGCACCGATATCGCCATTATGCCTGGTAATCCCTTAAACTTCAGAGATGTTAATCCATTAGGTAAAAGGTTATCTGAGCTTAAAGCTTCGATAATAGATCTCGTCCTAAAAGTTGAATCGGACACTCTGGCATATATAGGAACTAATGCTTCACCACATGGCCTCCCAGAATACAAGTGCGACTCTTAAGAACCGGTCTAGCTGCACTTCTCCCAGTAGCTCCTATCACAGTTATAGTCTTCCCCGAAGGCGGAGCCACCATCTTAGTCACCACAGAATGTTCAGCACCTGTGTCGATCATGAAAGAACTTCTCTTTCCCCCTATTGCTACATCGACCATAGGCTCCGCTGACCAAGTGGGATGGAGCCCGGTCGGTATCAATAGTCTTCCATGATAGTGTCAGCCAGACCCACAAAATCTCTATCCTCTCTTTCTCTAGGTCTCTGCGTGGGTGGATAGTATCTGTCTCCTTGAACACTTCCTCTACTATTCCCACCATTCCCTCTAAAACTTCCTCTTCCTCTATAACTACCACTATAACCTCCTCGTACCCTTCTCTCTCCTTGTCTATCACCTTCATACTGCTCTCTCTGTGGACACTCACTCTTCCAATGTCCCTCCTTTCTACAGTACGCACATTGATTCCTACTTAAAGGTCCCTTGCTCAGCCTATTCTCGTCTCCTCTATTCACTCCCTTCCCTGTCTTTCTACACTTGAGATAGCTACCGCTAGCATATCTGCCTTTTTCCTCATCTTACGTTCTTCCTCCCGCTATACCTCCGTCTACCTATTCATATATACTGTATTTGCAATCTCCATTAGCTGTAATATGGACATCCCTACAAATCCCTCTAATTTCTGTAATTTCCTTTTAATATCACCTTGGGCCTAGCTGACAAATGCTGAGTCTATCATTCGGAAGTTTTCAGAGGCTTCAGGATTGAAAGGAGTATACAATCTATTTGACTCAAGCAGTCTCTCATAAAAAGCACTAGGTGACTCATCAACCTTTTGCAACACCTCAGCCGTCTTTGACATATTAATTGCCTTCTTCCCTCCTTCCTTCATGCCAGCAATTATGGCTTCCCGATAAGCTCTTAGTTGGGGCATGTCAGCACTATTCACGTTCCAATTTGGATCGGCATTTGGATAATAGAAGTAACCAAATCTGTCATAACTTGAGGTTTGTCAGCAGGGCCGGACTGGGAAAAAAATTAGGCCCGGGCATTTTTCAATTAGAGCGGCCCCCCAAAAAGGGGGCGGTGCCAGAGAAAGTGAGCATGTTGGTTCAATGCGCAGAGCCCCGCTGAAGAGCTCTAGCATTAGAAAAAGGCCCTGTATTTGTTCTGCGCAGCACAAGCAAATGTAATAACATGCTTGCGCTGTGTTTGCTTTTAAATTGTCTCTGGTGTCTCCACAAGTGGGATACCAGAGGACAAAAGGGCCAGGAAAGTGTATGGTGCATGTGTTTGGCGCATGCTTGTGGGATTGCCTGTGTGTAGAGTGTGGTGTGGTATTGTGTAAATAGGTCAATTTTGTGGTGTAATATGTGTGGCTAGGGGCTGTCCAGAGTTCGTGTATAGGGGCATAGTGTTATAGGGGATGTAGCGAGTGTGTGCATACAGGCAGTAGTATGTGTGTATAGGTGACGTAGTGTGTGTCACTTATACACACACACTACTGTGTGTAGAGAGGGTGTGTTTAGAGACTGTTGTATGTGTTTGCTTACAAGGAATGTAGTGTGTGTGTAGGTGGTGCAGTGTGTGTGTAAGAGATCTAGTGTGTAAAGGACCCAGAGTGTGTATAGAAGATGTGTGTGTGTGTGTAGAGGATTAAGAGTGCATATAGGGTAAGGGATCTAGCGTGTATCTGGAGCGTAATGTGTGTAGTGGTGCAGTGTGAGGGGTGCTGTAGTGTGTGTGTGTGTGTGTGTGTATATATATATATATATATATATATATCAAAAAAACAGGATGCTTGGCACTCTCCTTTAAGTAATAAGAAAGAACTAATAGCCTGGGTGCTATATCCCAAACGTCAGAAATATACAAAAATCAAAACTGAGGATGCACTCACAGGACTTGGTTAAAGTGAAAAAAAGGGACTTTTAATTATTCCATGTGAATGGAAAATTGATTTTTCTGTACATTTCACATGGAATAATTAAAAGTCCCTTTTTTTCACTTTAAGCAAGTCCTGTG